CAGAATATAAAAGATATTCTGTGGAACTATGCTTTATCATAAACCCTCAATACTCTTGACATTTCTTAGACATTTTGTCTGAGAAGGGATGGATATCAAATTTATATTTTGTTGATAAAGAAATAAAGGGAAATTAGTATAGATCTATTTCAAGCTATTTAGCTATCATCAGCTAGCCATATCCTTACTTGGATTCAAACTTGGGCTGCCTACATGTTAGGCAGTTGTATTAACTTCTGAGCCACAAGTTCTGCTCCATTCATCAGCTTGAGCCAGGGTAGAAATTAAGTGTTTTTCTATTGAAGCACCTGATCTACCCCAGCATGTGGGAGGGAGCATTCTGCATCCCTTTCGCCTTTCAGCTCCAATCCAGGAGCCCTTTTCTTTGGAAATTTTGTTCAAAAAAAAAAAAATGTTAGGGGAATTTGATGTTGACTCTAAATCAACTATAGAGGATTTTTTTTCTGTATGCACATACCTATATGCTATGCAAAAACTAAAATGTTTTAAGTTTGGAGTACTATAAGTAGCATTCAAGAAACAGTTTGAGTCCTATTTGTTTCAGGCATATCTCCTCCCCACACCCCACACCCATAAAAAGAACCAGATCTTTAAAAACTTATTTTCAAATGTGAAGAAATCTTTTTTTGTATAAAGCAATTTTATTTTTGCTGATTTTTTTACTTTTGGTTTTTGGCTGCCTTCCAGTGAACCAACATGGCTGTTTATGATGCAAAGCAGTTAGAAATAAAACATTTGTAGCAGCTTTCTTGGGATAAGCATAAAAAAACCAAGCCATACTAAGAACCAGCAGACAAGATATCTCAGTATTTTTTTAGAGGCAGAAACACCTCTTTCTAATGAGTAAATTGAAGAACAAACAAACCAAGTCCTTCTATAATTTCCTCCCTCCCCCCAACTCCCAATAAATTGTTCTTGTAATTGACAATGCTTTGGGGAAAAAAAAGATTGTTTGCATGCTGGAAGAGGATATTATATGTGAACATAATCGATTTTGATTGTTTTTTAAGTATAATTGGTCCTATAAATTCAGTAGCGTCTTGCTTCAGTTACATGATGTATTAGAGACATATTAAATTGCAGCAGTAATAAGATGATTGTCTTCTTGGCTACCTTGTTAGAATGAATATGAAGTCATATTTATATTTCTATTCTGGTTAAATTTCAGCATTAAAGATGATACAATAGCCTGAGCACATATTACAAATGAGTGTGAGAGTGGTTCTCGTAATGCATTTAAATACATACTTCTAAAAGTAATGTGTTGGTTTTGATATAATTTGGGACATGGAAATATCTGAAATTTACCAGTATATCAGTATATTTATTTTCTGGAGACTTGACAAAGTAAATTCAGCCTTTCAGTTTGTGCTCCACCATTTTATTTATTTATTTTGTAAGCTCATATTTCTTCTTTCCAAGCAAACTGCATGTCAATATTGACCTTTATGAAAAAGTGCTTCCTCAACTCCTCATCTTCCAAGTGGTTTGCCTTTCTTTCCCATAATCCTTTAGCTGATATTGCTAGGAATTATGAAAGTGATGACCAACACAAATAGAGATATCTGAAGTGACACAATATTAATACATTTGTATGGTTTTTAACGTTGGACTCTCAGAGTCTGTAATTAAGAGGTTAAAAGGACGGTGTGAGAGCTCAGAGGTTAAGATGCTGGGCTTATTAGCTGGAAAGCTAACACCTGGGTTTTGAAACCTGATTCCTGCACAATAAGATCCCATTACTTGCCTCAGCTCCTGCCAACCTAACAGTTCAAAAATATGCAAATGCAAGTAGATAAATAGATACCGCTTCAATGGGAAGGTTACTGCATTCCGTATTTTCATGCTGGCCACATGTTGATGGAAATGTCTCTCATACAACTCAGGGTCCCTTAGCTGAGAATCAGATATAAGCACAATTCAATTGAAGGTATCCAGTCAATCATGACTGGATACCTTTAGGGAAACCGTTAGCCTCTTTATTTCACTGAAAATATTCCATCAGATTTATATCTATCTGGCAATCACTTTCAAGAAACCCTTCCCTTCCCTTCTGTTCCTTCCTTCCTTCCTTCCTTCCTTCCTTCCTTCCTTCCTTCCTTCCTTCCTTCCTTCCTTCTTTCTTTCCTTCCTTCCTTCTTTCCATCCATCCATCCATCCATCCATCCATCCATCCATCTACCATGCATGTACTGCCAGTATCATCTTACAATTTGTGTTCTCTATCATAACAACACATACATCAAAGGGAATAATTTAGAATTTATGAATAAAACACATATCCATCCAGCTACTGCAGGATTTATGTTCAATATTTGAACAACTGTTGAAATAGGCAACAACAATGAAGCAGAAAGATCTGATCTCTCCATTAAGCAATATTAATGGAATGGTAGTGAAGTTTAACAGATATTTATTTATTTTAAATAACAACAGAAAAAGAAAGAAAACATACATAAAATTATAATGCAAATACATACTTTCCAAAAGTGGGTAAAAAATACATGAAAAGTGCTTAAAATGCAAAAAAAATATGAAAAAGCAAAGTATACTACATCATAATAATAGTTATCAATTATAATTTTATATGTAATGTAAATATTTTTCAAGTGCAGGCATATTAATTTCTAATACATGTTTTTATTTGCATAAAAACAATATAATTTTACATTTATTTGTTTACTACAATGTACATGTTTCTCAATCTTGACAAACTGAAAGCATCTTCAAATGATAAAAATGCAACAGTGAAATAGAAATCATCATTACCAACAAATCAAAATAGCACCTTAAGGACCAACTATATCATCCAATCCATAATATGGGGATCCCTCTTCATCTATTCCAAGGCTCTGCATAAGAGCCAAGTTTTAATGTCGTTCAGGGTAAAAAAAACTGATTAGGGTGGGTGCCAACCTAATTTTGGGAGGTATGCTGTTTAAAAACAAAAAGACGATTCATTGTTTTGCAATGGCATTGCAACTAATTTTTATAGAAATCCTAGGTTTTCTAATCTGAGTAGAGACTCTTTCTTGAAGAATTCTTAGCTGTTGAAGAGAAATGCAAAAGAATTATCACTGAATCTAACAGCCCACCATTCACTAAACAAGCATCTTAGATTGGAGTAACTGAATATGTGCACCCTAGAGGACAAAAGGAAAAGCGGGGAGACATGATTTAAACCTTTAAATATTTTAAGGTGTGAAGAAGGTCCTAAAAGACAGTACTTTCAATAATAAGCAAAAATCAAGAATGTGTGAGCATAACCTCAAACTGACAGGAGGGAAGTTCAAAAGCAATATTCAAAAGTATTATGTCACAAAAGAATAATGGAAGCTTGAAATCAACTTCCAGCCAGGTAGTGGGTCAATCCTTGGTAACTGAGTTTAAACATGCTTGGGATACATGTCTATCTTCTGACAAAAATCAAAAGATAAAAATAATAAGATCTGTAATACCATCAAACATCCATGTCTGCCTATCCCAGGTCCTTGAAAAGGACTCAATAGGTAGACAAAATGCCAAATCCAGTCTGAACATCTGGCTGACTTGTGCAACAACCCAAAAATAAAAATAATTTAAAATAATAAGTGAATTCAAAACAAAACAGTAAGGAGAAAAGCTCAAAGAGCAAACTTGATGGATGACTAAGCTTTTCTCTGCCTTCAGTTGTCTATGTTTCTAGCTATCAAACTAAAAAAAGAGTCTTTACCAGGAAAAAAATGCAACATAAATTTATATTTGATTTTTGTGCATTTTGCTTGCTCTTTTAGCACACAGATTAATTAATTGATGTTTTATCTTAATAAAATGTTTCATGTTATAAATGTTGTCAAAATTCATGCTAATATAGTTCAGGAAAGAATGCTCAGACCTCTATTATTCTCAAATCCTAAGTATGAAAATTATAGAATAGCCCCCAATAGAGCTAAATCAAGACAGGAGATAAAAATTATTGTATTTTTCCTCTGTAAAATGGATATCCCTAAGATGTCCATGAACATCCATAATTCCATAACCAACTGGGAATGGTTCTTTTCAGTTTCTCTTCTATCTACATCAATATGGACCCATTGGATGGCAGACAATACATACCAGTCATATTAGTATGGATACGTGTGTGTGTGTGTGTGTGTGTGTGTGTGTGTTTATGAAAATACGACTTCAGTAACAGAGTTGTCAATGCCTGGAATGCACTACCTGACTCTGTGGTTTCTTTCCCAAATCCCCAAAACTTTAACCTTAGACTGTCTACTGTAGACCTCACCCCATTCCTAAGAGATCTGTAAGGGGCGTGCAAAAGCGCACCAGCGTGCCTACCGTCCCTGCCCTAATGTTTTCTTTTATTCATATCCTTTTCATGTATTTATAATTATGTATCTGTCATAAAATACATGCTTGACAAAATAAATAAATAAAATAAATAAATGAATGAATGCTGCTACTGAGCATCCCATGCTTTTCATTAGGATATAAGCACTCAAACAATAGAAACTGAGTGTTCTAGTATTTAATTGTAAAACCTTTCCACTTGATTTGACAGAAGATATGCTAATATTTCTTAAAACATTTTTCAGACCAGATACATATGAAAAATAAAAAAAAAATATCACTAATATTTTGCTACTACATTTGAAGAACAAAGTAACTATGGATATGTGTTCTCCATAAAAATTGTGATTGATTACAAAAGGAATGAGACTATAAGAAGTTTGCTTTGACAAGAGAATGAAAGAGTTCTAACTGGCAAAATATCACAATCAGATTTAGTCAAGTCACATTCTTATTTAAATTTGCAACCCAAACATGAGAGGGCTAATTGCAAAATTAGTTGGATAATGCTAAGAAAACAAAATCTGAGAGTATTAAAATATCTGAAAAATAAATGCAAATATTTAAATGATCATTTAAGAATTAATATAAGCAAAGGATTTTTTTCTGTTATTAACAAGTCTTCATTTCTTTGTTTTTCATTATAGGGGAGATACTATTTGCATTCAGGGATTGATGGATTCATCCATTTCTGGTTCAATTCAGTTGTATATATCTTCACTGATAGGTTTCTCTATCCTGTTGTGAAATAAATTTGCTGCTTCTGTTGTTCTGCTGTTGATCGTATTGCATAAAGCTGAATATATTATTTTACAAACTACATTTTATATGTAATGTAATGTATCCTGTAATGTTTTGAATGAATTTTAACTGAGACATATGTAAGTATTATTTTCAGAGATGATTTTTGAATTATATCTCCTTATTCATGCTTTCCCTAGCTTGTCATTTAACTTTACACTATGTATTGCATGCATTGCCAACCATCGCATATATTTCTCGAAGTAATATGCAAAAACAGTAGATTATAAAAAATTGCAAAAGGGGGTACAGTTCAGAATTCTGGGATAAATGCATAGATAAATGCATAAAAGCAAACTAATACACAAATAGAAACATTAATAGTTTCAAAAGCTAAATTGACAGGTCTATCAACTTTAATACACTTTTCTGCCATCTTACCCTTTCAAAAAACTAAGGAAATATGTTAATACGAGGTAACTGTATTATGGTCTGACTATTGGTTTGGGAACAACAAAGTGAGTCAGTTTGATTTTAAAATGTAAATTACAGTCAAATACTTAATGTTTGCATGTAAGCAGTAACATGGCTTGTCCCATTCAATTTAACTTCCAAAATACCCAGCTTTCGTTCTTTTCTGAAAGAGTACTTAACGAATTAATCAAGGAAGCAACTTCAGCATTCCTATATGCCAGAGTTCTGATATAAAATGGTATGCTGTATGTTTGATAACTAATATATGAGACAAGAGGAAGAACCACAGAGTGACTCTATTTTTCTATTTCTTAGCTTCTGTATTTGACTCTTACCGTAAAGCCCCAAAGCCAGAAGCTCTGTGGGTCAGAAGGATAGAGAACAGCCAAAGGCAAAAGAATACAGAAGGCAGAGTATCACTTTCCAGTGGCTAGATCTCACATAGGCTGTTCTTTTAAGAAAAGAGATTGAAAAAAATCAATAACCAAGTAGGGTGATTGCTGTTGGTTTGTGGTTTGCCTACCATAAACCATAATCAATATTTACTAGAGCAGTAATATACTTAGGAAACTATGGCACCACTGTGATGAAGGAGCAAGGAAGCGAAAATGGGCATTTAAGGTCTTTGGAGGGAAATGGCAGCTTCTTAATGATCATTTGGATACTCTCAGGTTTCTTTCTTCATTTATTCAGAGAGACTTCATTAGTGCTTAAATCACAGAATGGGGAGGGAGGAATCCCCAGTTTGGAGAGACTCTGAGTTAATATATTTAGTGGCTAGACAGTTCAATTCCTTGGTTCAATATCTGCCTGCTGAAAATTTCTAATATTCAAAGCAGGGAAGTTGAATCCATCTTCATGGCTCCACTTTGTCATTTTTATTGTGAGATACAATGCTCTCTCCAATTTAGATTTACTGTTTTAAATGCTCCTTTGAAGGAATCCAAAAATAGTTGCATGGTTATGAACGTAATACATGAGCTACTGCCCATGTCCCTACTGAGAATTAACAGAGTAGGCACAGGATGTGCAGATAAATAATAGGTATTATCTTACCTTCCCAATACAAATGAAAATATTCTTTCCAAAGCATAATAAAAACATAATACTATGCACAATGAGAATGGCATGCATAGGAAAGCTAAAAGAATCCTGAAGATCAGATTCATCTATTCTATATATCCTTAAACTCACTAAACTCAACTATTACCGATTGTTTCATTGTCGAAACAAAGTGCACTTTACTCTACTACATTCAAAGATCCAGTGAGGCCATGAAATACATTTATTTCTCTTGGCAGACATTCCCTTATGTCCAAAGCTTTATCTAAAAATCACAAAAGGATTCAGCTTTTAGTGGATTTTGGAGGGCTTGAAGATAATGAGTCTGGGCAAGGAAAAGTAAGATTGAAGAATTAAAGAAGAAATAGAACTCAGACTGAAAAGGAAAATACTGCAGAAGATTTTTTTGTGTGTGTGCTAATTCCTTCTTTCTGCCAGGTGTGTTTTCTCTGCCTGCCTGTTATATTGGAAGAAGAGGTCAGAGCAGAGCACAAATGCTTCAGAAAAGCAAAGCAAGGAAAGAGCAGGCCAGCATTGTTGACTCTTCAAGTTTCCCTCTAATCTCTTTGTAGTTACAAAAAGTCCTACTGTGCAGGTGGTAATATAGCAGCAATGCTTTCCCCCCCTCTGTGCTCACTTGTTACAAGAAGCAGCTACCGCACTGAGAGGAATGCGGTGCTAGAGGGCAGAACTGCACCGGCTATAGCGTATCCCATTCATAAACATGTCTTTTTGAATCTCCGAAACTCATCAGGAAAAGGAAGGAAATTTTTCAATTTTAAGAAATTATCATGGTTAAACACACATACACACATACCCACAAACAAAGAGCACAATGACATTTCTCCCTGCAGGCATATTGAAAGTAGAATGGTAATGCATGCTTAAAAACAAATTAAATGCTGCTGCCCTAGCAAAGCCTTAAATACTGGTCTGATTAAAGTGGAGACGAAATGGTTTCTGCCATCCTGTTGCTCAACAATCAATTATTTCCCATATCCTCAGCCCCATCTCCTTCTCTTTCCTTCTTTTCCTCAGCTGGATTCTCACTTCCTTTGCTCTTGCTATTATTTCCTTTTCCTTTCCAGCAGTATGCAGAATTCTTTTGCACTTCCTGCTGGGAATGAATATGAGTATTTGCTCTCAGCAGAACTAATGTGGGATGAATATTAATGAGAAAGAAGTCTGGTTAATGCTCCCTTATAAAATAAAATGAGTTACAGTTTTTTCTAAAAATGCAAAGCATTTGGGATTGTCAAACCAGGATTGTCAAACCAGATGGTGACTGTGTATGAAATTTCCAGGTGAAGGGAATGTTGTTTATTCAACAAATTGGACTACATTAATCCTACAAGAAATATTAGATTTCTTAAATGTCTTTTCTGCCTCTCAAGCAGTAAAATTACTCACCTTCTATTGTTGAAATATGATAAGTCAATATCAATTTCAACTGTGGTTATTGGTGTTATTAGGGTAACAGGTTTAGTTTGGGATGTGTTGAATAGTAACACGAGAAATTGCAGCCATATATATGGCTCATTTCTGATTTTTGCCAAACTCTTTTGCCAGAATTCCTTAGACCAATTCAAAATACCAAATTTCTTTTCTTTATGATAAACTAAAATAACGTGACAAAAAGCTTTACAACTGTTCATTTATTGTAGATTTTTATATCTCCCAGAGAGTATACTATAGCACTTGCAGAAAGAGATTTAATTCAGTATTTCTAGAGCACTCCTTGTAAGTCTTTATAACTGAACTGGGCAAAGTCACAATCCCTGACCACTGGTAGAAATTGATCTGCCACTGACTATTGACAGAAATTGATGAGAGTTAAAGTCCACTGGTTCATCTCTGTTACCTTTTCTTGAACCCAATCTCTGCTACCATACAACTTACTTAAATGGATTTTAGGAATGGTGGTAGAGGGAGATCAGATTCATACAGTCTTCCCACACACCCACACACCCACCCCATAGGAGATTGTCAATAGACAGAGCAAGGTTTTCTTTCTGATGAAAGGGTTTCTGTGATCTTTATAAAAGTCATTCTTTCATCTTGTGCTGATACATAAGTCCATTCACAAGATGGACATTCTTCCATCTTGTGCTGATACATAAGTTTCAACATAAGTCCATCCATCCTCATCCATTCAGCCCAAATGTCCACACAAAGCAGCACTTTTAAAGAAATCAATATGTATGAACACATGAAAACCATAAAAGGTTTGCACTGAGTCTAGAGTTAGGTGTTAAAAGAACCATGAAGTTACAACCACTCAAAGAATCCAGCCACTCAAAGAATCCAGAAATTCGTAGCAGTTGACTATGTGATAGGCCCAGAGTCTTATATGGAAACAAAACAAATGTATTAACAAACAGTTAGTTATTAGCAAAGAAGTCCCCTCCCTGTCTGCAACCCTGCCAAGACCGAGTGGCTGTGGGTACCGGCATCTCGGTCCGAAGGAGAGATTCCATTGTTGACTATAGGGGGTGAAGTTTTACCCCCTGTAGACAGGGCATGCAAATTGGGTGTCCTCCTGGACTCACGGTTGAGTTTAGAAGACCATATAACAACTGTGACCAAGGGGGCATACACCCAGATTCGTCTGGTGCATCAGTTGCGTCCCTACTTGGACCAAGATGCCCTACGCAGTTACTCATGCGCTAGTCATCTCCCGTATTGACTACTGTAACACTCTCTACATGGGGCTGCCCTTGAGGACCACTCGGAGGCTTCAGCTGGTACAAAATGCAGCTGCGCGGGTTGTGATGGGAGAATCCCGATACTCCCATGTAACACCTCTCCTGAGCGACTTGATTGGTTGCTGGTTGCCCTCCAGGTGAGATTCAAGGTGCTGGTGATGACCTATAAAGCCCTATATGGCTTAGGCCCAGGATATTTGGCAGACCACCTGCAGCCAGCAACAACTTCCCATCGCCCGGTTCGCGCCCATAGGGAGGGCCTGCTCAGGGTGCCGTCAGCTAGACAATGTCGGCTGGCGGTCCCCAGGGATAGAGCCTTCTTTGTGGGCATGCCCACCCTCTGGAATCAACTCCCCTTGGGGCTCCGGTTGGCCCCTGAGCTTCGCACTTTCCGCTGCAAATTAAAAATTTAAAAACAGTCCCTTGGCCTGGACTGATGAGGTTTATATGGATTTTTAACTTCTATCTGGTTTAATTAGGTATTTTAACTTTGTACTGTGGTTATTGTGGATTTTACTGTTGTGAGCCGCCCTGAGTCCGTTGGAGATAGGGCGGCATATAAATTAAATAAAATAAATAAATATGACCTTAACAGATTTGGCTTTGCAGACCTTAGTTAATGTGTTTGTGCATAATGTGATTGTACATTGATATACAATCGATCCCCTTCTCCCTGCCTTCTGTTCTTGTATAGCAGGTGATATATGCATAATCTTTGCTTCGTGTCCCAGCATCCTGTTGGTATTCTCAAAGGGTTCTCTTGGCATTCAGGCTAATTTCCACCGTGTGCGTGTTCCACTCACTGCTGAAGAACTGGCACAGACACAAATGAAGAATTAAACAAAAAGTCCTCTGTATCCAGGGAATCTGGAAAGCTGCTTGTCCTCAGTTGCACCAGGAATCAAAGAGGCATGATTTTCTATCTCAGAATCAAGCAACTTCTTCACCTTAA